CCCCCTCCCCCTCCCCCTCCCCCCGCCCCCTTTCCCCGCCCCCTAGTAGGGTCCTCTACTAGTCTCACCCAAAAATACTAACTCGAGACCCTTGTTTTCCAAACCTCCAGTCTTCCCCGTGGTTCCGGCATCGTGACCCGCCGTCCCCTCGTCCTCCAGCTCATCAACCGGACAGCCACCCAGAACGGCTTCGGCAATGAGCTCGACGATAACACCGACAAGGCCGCCAACACGGACGAGTGGGGCGAGTTCCTTCACATTCCCGGCCAAAAGTTCTACGACTTCAACAAGATCCGCGATGAGATCAGCAGAGAGACTGAGGCCAAGGTCGGCCGCAACGCCGGCATCTCGCCCGCTCCCATCAACCTGAGAATCTACTCGCCCAACGTCCTCAACCTCACCCTCGTCGATCTTCCCGGTCTGACAAGAGTGCCCGTGGGCGACCAGCCGCGCGATATCGAGAAGCAGATCAGGGACATGATTCTCAAGTATATCCAAAAGTCCAACGCCATCATCCTTGCCGTTACCGCTGCCAACGTCGATCTGGCCAACTCGGATGGCTTGAAGCTGGCTCGTGAGGTGGATCCCGAAGGTCAGCGCACCATCGGTGTGCTTACAAAGGTCGATTTGATGGACGAAGGAACCGACGTTGTTGATATTCTTGCCGGTCGCATTATCCCCCTCAGGCTAGGATACGTGCCCGTGGTGAACCGTGGTCAGAGGGATATCGACAACAAGAAGCCCATCAACGCTTCGCTCGAGGCCGAGAAGAATTTCTTTGAGAACCACAAGGCGTACCGTAACAAGAGCTCATACTGCGGCACACCCTACCTCGCCCGGAAGCTCAACCTGATCCTGATGATGCACATCAAGCAGACCCTGCCCGACATCAAGGCCCGCATCTCCAGCTCGCTACAGAAGTACACCCAGGAGCTCGAGTCCTTGGGACCCTCGATCCTCGGCAACAGCGCGAACATTGTCCTCAACATCATCACCGAGTTCACAAACGAGTGGCGCACTGTCCTTGACGGTAAGAGCACCGAGCTCTCCAGCCAGGAGCTGTCGGGTGGCGCCAGAATCAGCTTCGTCTTCCACGAGCTGTACTCGAACGGTGTCAAGGCCGTGGACCCCTTCGACCAGGTCAAGGACGCCGATATCCGTGTTATCCTCTACAACTCGTCTGGTCCCTCGCCCGCTCTCTTCGTCGGAACCGCCGCCTTCGAGCTCATCGTCAAACAGCAGATCAAGCGTCTCGAGGAGCCCAGTCTCAAGTGCGCGTCGCTCGTGTATGACGAGCTCGTCCGCATCCTCACCACCGTGCTCAGCAAGCAACTATACAGACGCTACCCCGGTCTCAAGGAGAAGATCCACCAGGTGGTCATCACCTTCTTCAAGAAGGCCATGGAGCCCACCAACAAGCTGGTCAAGGACCTGGTCGCCATGGAGGCGTGCTACATCAACACGGGCCACCCCGACTTCCTCAACGGCCACAGGGCCATGGCCATTGTCAACGAGCGCCACAACGGCTCCAGGCCAGTCCAGGTCGACCCCAAGACGGGCAAGCCGATTCCGCAGGCCGCTACTCCCGCGCGGGCCGCCAGCCCCACGCTTGCCGGCAGCAACCTTGACGAGGGAGGGTCTAACGGCGGCTTCTTCGGCAGCTTCTTTGCCGCCAAGAACAAGAAGAAGGCGGCGGCCATGGAGCCGCCCCCACCCTCGCTCAAGGCCTCGGGTGTTTTGTCCGAGAGAGAGAACATCGAGGTGGAGGTCATCAAGCTGCTTATCCAGTCGTACTACAACATTGTCAAGAGGACCATGATTGATATGGTTCCCAAGGCTATCATGTTGAACCTTGTTCAGTAAGTTACTCTATCTACATCACGCCAAGTGACACGTCTTTCAGAAGTACATGATACTGACATAAGCATAAAACAGACTCACAAAGGACGAAATGCAAAAGGAGCTCCTCGAGAACATGTACCGCGCCGACGAGCTTGACGACCTCCTCAAGGAGAGCGACTACACGGTCCGCAGGAGGAAGGAGTGCCAACAGATGGTGGAGTCGCTGTCGAGGGCTAGCGAGATCGTTAGCCAGGTACAGTAGGGTTAGTACTGAAGTAGTACGAGAGAAGACGAAAGAGAGTCTGTTGCTGTTTATGAGACGAGACACCTTATTTTTTTGATGATGATGGATATTATGTGATTACATAGAAAGAAAGAAAGAAAGGAAGAGAGGGTCATGGGAGTCATATAAGGGGGTGATGGTAGTAATGATGCGTTGGTTGACCGTAGGGTAGGTGGGTGGATGGGCAAAGAGGTTGGAGACAAAGGCGGGAAGGGGAATTGTCGTTGTTGCCAGACAGATTATTATTTAAGTAGCAGTTGATATACCAAGCGATCGATGAAAGAGAGACAGACGAACGAGAAGGACCTAAGGAAGAGAGGGTGTGTCATTGGTGGCACGTTTTTGTGTTTCGTTGTACAGAAAATATTTATGGCTCCATGTCCATGAGAGTTGCTTGGATCTAGAGAACCGAAGAACTCCAGTTCATATTTTACATGGTGCTGTGGCATAGACATTGCACACCTTCCTGTGCCATGAACTTGCGGTCATGCCCTTCTTTGAAGATACTCTGACACCGACCCAACATCAGCTCCAATGGCCAGTCAACCACCAGAGTTGCCGGTGTTGATGGGCTTGGCATGATCATTGCAGGCGTACCTAGGTCTTTGTTAAGATGATGGAGTGTGAGTACCTAAGCACTGTTACGCTCAGAGTTGGCTTATGTATTGACATTGCATGGACGTGAGGGAGTCACAATTCATGACACTTGCTGTCAGAGCAACAAATCATTGGGTTTCAACCGACATACAGCTGCAACTACGAAAAGAGATGGCCGTGAGAGGAAGAATAGAGTTGCACAGGTCGACAAATTGATGTTTTGCAAATTGATATTATATACCGAGAATTCTACACAAAAAGAAATACAGAGAAACATAAGTCCGTCATAGCTTAGACTTGACGACAGCGCTCCCATCTACGACATCGAACTCCTTACCCTTTTTCCAACCAAGCCACTGCTCCACGACACTCTCGCCTCCCTTTCCAGGCTTCAGCGGAATTCCCACATACGCCTCCCCCTTAACGCCCGGCCCCTGCCCATGGCTAGCATCCTTCGCATCGCTCCGTACCGCCAAGCATGGCGTCTCCCTAAGCGTGACCACCGGCCTCTGATCGCCTTCCAGCCTCTCCCTCTCCCTCTCCATCTCGCCATACTCGAAGACCGCCGTGCAGCACGCATCCGTCCCGTCAAATATATCCTCCCACTCCCTCCTCGTCTTGGTCTTAAACCTCTGCTCCATCAACCTCCTCAGCTCAGGCCAATTTTCTTTGTCTCCTCTCTTTGCCTCCCACGCTTTTCCGTCCTCCAGCCCCAACCCCTTGATCAACTCCCTAAAGAACTGCGGCTCCAACGCGCCAACAGCCATATACTTCCCATCTTTAGTTTCGTAAGTATCATAATAAGGACACCCCGTATCCAGCAAGTTCTCGCCCCTCGGCGCGTTGCCCACCGCCGTCTTCAGCGCGAACCGGTTGAAACTGGCTAGGTAACTCGCTCCGTCGACGATATTCGCCTCCACCACCTGCCCTTTGCCCGTCCTCTCGCGCGCCGCCAGCGCAAGCAGGATGCCCTGGAACAGCACGGCTCCGCCGCCCGCGAAGTCGCCCAGGATGTTAATCGGCGGCGTCGGCTTCTCGCCCTTGCGGCCTAGCATACTAAGAACGCCTGATACGGCAAGGTAGTTGATGTCGTGCCCGGCCATGTGGGCGAAGCGGCCGTCGCGCCGGAAGCCGGTTAGGCGAGCGTAGATGAGGCGGGGGTTGCATTCGTCGCTGCAGAGGACGGAGGGGCCTAGACCGAGCTTTTCTAAGACGCCGGGGCGGTAGGGGTCAATGAGCACGTCTGAGACGCGCGCTAGGGATTTGATCAGGGAGATGCCGGAAGGGGACTTGAGGTCGACTACCAGGGAGGATTTGTGGCGGGTTAGTTGGTCGGGAACTTGTTGGGCCACGGGGCCGGAGACGGCGCGGTCGATGCGCAGGACGGAGGCGCCGGCGTCGGAGAGGAGGAGGCCGGCGAAGGGACCTGTTAAGTTAAAGGGTTAATATTTTGATATTCTCAAGTGATAGTGAAGCGTAACTGGTGTAAGTGGTGTAAGTGAGGTGTAAGTGAGATACGGGAGATCGGCCGGGTTTCGGCCGATAGTCTCCGTGTAAGTCGGATGAAGGTGAGAGATGGATATGGGATGGATATGGACTTACCTGGAGCTAGACCGGCAAACTCTAGGACCTTGAGGCCGGTAAGAGGCGGTTGGCCAACCATTGTGCGTCACTTCAATGTTTCAATGTTCTTGAAGGTACCTCTCGAGTAGTGATGCCTCCTCGGGAATATGAAACGGTTACACGGCAACGGACCGATCCACAACACACGGGAGTTTATCCACTCAGCCGGTTCACGTTTCCAATTCCCACGTTTCTTCGAATGGCGTGGGCCACTGTTTGGTCGGAAAAGGGGATACCTAGTAAATGACGTATGACCTCAGGGGTGAATGTAACCGGCGGTGGTTGTTGTTGTTGTTGTTGTTGTTGTTGTTGTTGTTGTTGTTGTTGTTGTTGTTGTTGCTGTGATGATGTGTGGTTGCTGGCCTTGGTAGTGGTGTCTGCAGGAGCAGCAGCAAGCTCGCAAATGTCGACCAGAAAGGATGAAACGAGGAAGAGAGTGACGAACATATCCGACCACTTATAAAACCGGTATTCGGGACTTGTAATATGGGGAAGTTTGAGAATGCTACGTTGGAAGTGTGGGGTAATTAGGATGAATGGGAAGTCTCTTGACTTTTGACTCTTTCAGGTTTGGTGTTTTTGATTGAGGAGGTGCTTGCAGGATAGTGGCAATTGGGGTATTCGACAAAGACTTTGTGAACGTGAAATTTCCTACTTCAGCTGAAGCCCTTTTGACGAGGATGGCTCTTTTGGGGTATTTAACAGCTGAAGCCGTCGTGATGTGCGATAAACATCATAAGACGATGGACACTCATCCTGGCACTCCCTGATAAGCTTTTCCGTTTCCGAATCCAGACCATCTCAGCTCAATCTTGGAATATTGAAGCAAGGTGGATTCGAGAGCAACATCATCACGCGACACGAATACGTACGGCGGCTAGGCCACTACCGAGGCTTGAGTGTGTGTGTGTGAGGGTGTGCCTGTTACGCCTGTCACCAATTTGCACCCTGGACGCACTCCCGTTTAGCGGCTGATCGTGGCCCGCCCTGTGGGGGAGTTGGAGAGCTGGGCTCGCTGGGCAGGTGGAGAGAGACGGCTTGGTATGCGGGGTAAGGACAAGAGGAGGAAGTTATGGATTGTCAACTTTTGTACCTGTGACAAACTTCCGAGGCATTGGGTGGATGACAGGAACAGATCTGGGGGAAATCGTGATGGGGGCTGATGGAAGATGCGATTGGTACCAGGTAAACAGTATATGATGCAATCCTTCGACGCTTGAAAGAAGAGCTTCGGTGCATGGCAATACCGAGCCCACGATACCGATGATGAGCGAGACAGCGTGGATGGCTACGTGGTAGCTGAAAATAGGTATGTTGATCATTGTTGACCATCAACACCAGGAGATCCTGACGAACATCAGTATGAAAATCGTGTGATAGAAAGGTCACGGGAAGTGTATCGGATACCATGAGGCTCTGGGTCCAGCAATCGGGCGGAAGGGTGTATGTGCCAGACATCATGAGTGTTCCCCAATTCTGTATCTCAACCGTATCTGCTCGTCCATCAGAAACAATAATGCTGTTATTATGAGCTGGGAAATTATCAAAGTTGGATGTTGAGTCGAAATTGTAGATGCCTCCTCCAGGGCTGACAAATGTCAAGACCGAAAGTGCAAAAACACCATAGACAACCCTAACCCCACATCAGGAGTTTATCGGAGGCACTAATGTTACATCATTACAGGGAAGCTCCAGTTAATCGCCGCTAAAAAGTCGTGATAACGGTTTCCACTGCCGCTGCCGCCGACAATTCGCCATCCGTCCGCCTTGCCGTGATCTTCCCATCTGTCTGTCTTTTGCGCCGAACAAACCGTCTCGTTCCAGTCACCAGTTCCGCACCTATCCTTTTCAAAATGTTGACCAGGTCCCTTTTCTCGAGGGTAAGCAAGGCTCCCGTTTGCGCTTCAGGTCCCGTCCCGTCGCTAACATCCCCCGGCAACAACAGCAACTCTTCGCCGCCGCCTCCCGGCCGGCCGTTGCGCCCAAGGCTGCCTTCCGCCCCGTCCTCTTCTTCCAGAACCGCTTCCTGTCCGATGCGACCCGCCAGGCCATCGACAAGGCCGTCGCCTCCGCCCCCGTCGTCCTCTTCATGAAGGGCACCCCTGAGACTCCCCAATGCGGCTTCTCGCGCGCCAGCATCCAGGTTCTCGGTCTGCAGGGCGTGGATCCTAACAAGTTTGCCGCTTTCAACGTTTTGGAGGATTCCGAGTTGAGGCAGGGTATGTTCACATCCAGCTAAGAAAATAAGAAAAAGAGAGGGAGAGAGAAACAAGGGGGAAGTACACAAAAGACAGAGGACACAAGTGCTGACAGTGGCGCGCATCATGCAGGTATCAAGGAGTACAGCGACTGGCCCACCATTCCCCAGCTCTACATCGACAAAGAGTTCGTCGGCGGTTGCGACATCATTGTCTCGATGCACCAGAACGGCGAGCTTGCCAAGCTTCTCGAGGAGAAGGATGTCTTGGTCAAGGGCGAGGAGGGTGCTGCTGAGGAGCAGACCGAGAAGAAGGAGTAAAGGGAAAAAAAAGACGAGATGGACGCGGATATTGGCTACCGTTATGCGTGGTGGAGGGGATGAGTTGATTCACGAAGAGCTCATTGTACTTGTACTGATACCATTTGACAGACGATTTGGACCGCATGCGTAGATTGTACGATATGTGTTGCTCTTTATACCGGCGTTAACATGTGGAGATGTTTTTGGAGGCTTTGGTCAGGGCAATCAAGAGAAAGAGGGCATCAGAGGGACGTCAGGCTATCCTCCCATATCGAATATAGAGTACATATGAAAAGCGATTCTCTCAAAACTATCTCGATCTATACCCGACCATGCTATGATGTGTTGAAAACGCCATGTTAAATGCCGCCTGGGTATCATGTTAAAAAGCCCCCTTCAGTCATGCACACAAGAGAAAACAAGGAAAAACAAAAGTAATAACAAATCTTGTCCTTCAGCCATGTCGAGCCCATTTTCTTCTCTCCATCCCCCTTCTCTACCCACTGCCTCCAGGCTCTCAGTTGCAACCAGGCCCATCCGTAGCCTCCTTATTCGTCTTCGCCTCCAGTCCATACCCTCCAATGCCCGGGCTGTTATAACTCAATCCCTCCGGTCCCCGCATATGCTGACTGCGCGGTCCTCTCTCCTTCAAATCATCCCTCAACCACCTCAACACCAGCTCTCCCAGTCTAGAATTTCCCGTCACTCCCTCAACGACATTCTTCCCATCGTCCACCTCCTTCAACATCTCCTCCGCCTTGCCCCATCCCTTCACCGTGCCCAAGTGCATATGCACCAGATGCGTCGGCCAGCTGGCCAGATTATCCAGAATATGCGTGGCATAAACAACCGTGCACTCCCTCGTCTCCGTCTCCCGCCTCAGCCACCCCAAAAACTGCGCGCGCGACCACACGTCCAAGTCCACCGTGATCTCATCCAGCAACAGCACCGTCCACGGGCGGATCAGGCCCATGGCCAGCTGCACCCGCCGTCTCTCGCCATCCGAGACCGCGTGCATCCGCCAGTTGGTGTCGATGTCCAGCACTGACACCAGCTCGTCCCTGCGCTCGGGATAGTGATCGCCGCCTACCGACCGCAGGAGCTCGACGACGCCGATGTCGGTGCGCACAATGGCGTTGAGAACCCATTCTAGTCCGAGGTAGGTGACGCCCTCGAGTCCGTCCTTGAACGGGTCCACGCCGGAGACTTTGATGGTGTTGGCGGGCGCGAGTCGCTTGCCCGCTAGCAGGCGTAGGAGAGTGGTTTTGCCGGCGCCGTTGGCGCCGATTAACAAGGTGCGCGAGCGCGGGGGCAGGGAGAGGGTGATGTCCGAGACGCCGTTGGAGCGGTCGGGGAAGGTGTAGGTGAGGTGGGTGGTTTCCACTGTGGGCGGGGCGGGTTGTTGGGATGCCATGTTGGTTGGTTGTTGGTTTGGACGGGTTGTTGATTGATGTTTGTTTATGCTGTTGGCTCTTTTGGAGTTTGAGTTGTTGGTTTGTTGGTGATGCCACGTACGTACGTCCTCCCTTTGAGTGTTCGTGTTGTTGACAATGTAAGGGATGCAAATATGTCCGTTGGTTGAAGAAAAGGGAAAAGTTTGGTTGGTTTGGGGAAGTGAATAGAAAAAGAAAAAAAAGATGGGATGAGGGGGCAACGTTATGTGATGCCACACCACTACCTAGTGTATTTGCAGAAAGGTACGTCGATCGCCTGACAGTTTGAAGAGCTCTGAGTCGGCGATGTTGGGCCAGAAGTCTTGTCGCTTGAATCGTTTCAATTGCCGCTCGCCCCCTGCTGCTTGGGATAAGTGTTTTGCGGGGTGATAATGACGCAAGTAAAACTAAGCATGTACACAACAGGGGCCGTTTTGAGTCCAGAGTCCAGACAACGATTCAGTTTCTGTTTTGTTTCTCTCGAGGAACCGTTGTGGGAAAAAGAAAAACAAAACGACCCAACTAACAACTGAAAACCTCCGCGGCCTTCTGTATACCTATGTGCTTATCTACACAGGGGGGATATCCTCATGCCCTTTTCTTTTTTTGTGTCTCCTCAATGCTACCTACCGAAAGAGACATCGTTCAACATTCGGCATCTCTTCGCAGGCTGATGCCGACTCGACCATACCACTACCATGTAGCTCCACTATGCCTCCAGAGTCCGTCCATGATTCGGCCAGACGCCGTCAAGCACCACATCGGAAGCCTCCGAATCTCTGTACCTTATCCCTTCCAAGTCTTCAACATTCTTCCTCAACGAAGTTGCAGATTCGAGGTGAGTAAGTCGAGGTGAGCCAACCGCACTAACATCATGACCTCAATTTCCGGATTGGGAAGGTGTCGGTTAGTGGCTTGAAGTTTTTCCCCGGTACATGTTTTCAGGTACCGTAGGTTGTCGAGGTTCCGTTGTCAAGGGAGCTCAAATCACCAACCAACCAACTGCTTTGGCATCGCCGGGAACCAACAACGTAGGTATGTACGTAGCTGCAAGCTTGATCGCCATGGCAGCAGATGGAGCAAATTGGTTGTTGTTCTGAGACATGATCGCTTCATGACTCCCCGGCTTTGCAGGAGTTCTGTTTTGGTTACTGTAACAGCCGTATGTATATACTGAGAGCTCGAGCCCCTTGCCAAGAATAAACAAAGCTGAAGAGACGTGCAAGTCAAGTAGCGATATGGCTTGGCTACGCAGGATGTATTTTGACCATTTTCGATCAAGGTTTACTATCATCACCAAGAGAGTTAAGGATGCAAAGATGAGCGAATGATGGGATCTCAGGAGACCTTTTTTTGTATTTGATCTCCCTAAATTCTGGGCGGTCCATAGTAGAAATTCATGTTGGTGATATTGAAGTCTACCAACTCGAGATGATCATCCATCCATCCATCCTAACCGTCCCAACCAACCGCCCCCTATCTAACCTAACCTAACCGCCGCAGCCACCATCCATCCATCCATCCACCAAGTCCCAGAACCGGTTTCTCTCTCTCTTCTCTTCCCTTCCCTTCCTAAGCCATGAATGATGTAAACAATAATTGGTATCCCTTGAACCGAAAAAAAAAAAAAAAAAAAAAAAAAGCAGGGTGAAAAAAAAAAAAAAAAAAAAAAACACTGGTGTTCTAGCGTGCGTGTCCATACAAGGCGCAACAGCCTTATTTTTCTTTTGGGTTGGTCGGGAGTCCAGCCAGTTGCGTGATAGCCAGTGATAGTGAAATAAGAAGAATATGCTGTGCCGCAAAAGAGAAAAGAAGAATATGTGATGAGAAAAGCGTGAATAGTCCCCCTTTCCTTCCTCCCTCCTCCTTCCGTCCTTTTTTGCTTCGCCACCGACCGATGCTTGCTGTGCAAAGAACATGAATGATAAAATGCTGAATGACGCTCCCAGTCCGTCTAACTGCAACCGAAGGAAAAAAAAGTCCGGACAATGATAATAAGACACGAAAAAGAAAATGGTGGTATCTCTTGCTTCTCTCTCTTGGTCTTCCCCCTCTTTTTGAGCCCTATGTTTGGCTTTTCGCGGCCGTGACGATCGCTTTGTTCATCTGTTCACCTTCTCTTCACCATTCATCACCTCACTAAGATCCGGCAACAGCCCCCCACCGATGCTGCAATCCATCCGTCCACCTCGCATACAACAGATCCGACAGCGCCTTGCAGTGCTCCATGCCTGCCACCGCCGGCTGGCCCGGGTACTTTGCCTCGAGGGCCGCCCGCTCGCGCAACTCCCTGCTGCTACTCTCCCTCACGCGCTCCTGCTTTTCGGGCGATCGACTGCTGGCATGGCTAGTGTGGGACGATTGCGACGACTCTCTTCGCTGATGGTGCTGGGGCAGTGGAAGCTGATGCGAGGACGAGTTGGAGGATTCCTTGCGTCGGTGCGCGGCTTGCTGTAGCTGGGCCTGCTGTTGCTGTTGTAACTGCTGGGCAAGCTGTTGCGAGCTGGCCTCCCTTCGCTGCTTCTCCTGCTGGAGGACCGGGTGGGAGAGTTGCTGCTGGAGGGGTGGCGGGTTTTCCTTCTTCTGAAGAGACGGGGCGGAGTGCTGCTGTAAGAGCTGGGGCTCCTTCTTTTGGGGTGATGAGGTTGGTTGTATTAGTTGAGGTTGCTGGAGTTGGTGGATAGGAGTTCCTGGTGCTGTTGCCATCACGGAAGACGGCCTGCTGCTGCTGTTCGTCCTCTCGGCGACGGGCTTCGGTGTGGGCATGACGACACTCTCCCGCCTTGGTCTGGGACTGGCCAAGGGTGTGTTCTGCTGGCTCATCAGTTTTGTCGGGCTGGCGGAAAGAACCGGCTTTTGCGGGGAGCGCGAAGGGGTCTGTGGGATGTTCTGGCCGTGAGCGATACCGGCCGATGTCAATGGCCGTTGGTTCAGGTCGCGGTTCTTGCTCTGCGGTGTGCCGTCTACAGATTTCCTGTGAAGGTGCTGACCGGGTGAGATCTTGCTAGCGTTCAGCAGTGCCGCGCTGAGCCTGTTGTCTTGAGATATCGAGGAGAGGAGGTTTCGGAGCAGGTGGTAAGCTCCTTCAGGATCCACCAAGTCGAGATGGGCGAACGCATCAGACAGATTGGCCAGAGCCTCGCGTTTTTGTGATGGACCGGTTTGCGCATGAAGCTCTTCAAGCGCAGGCTCAATGGCCTTGTTATAGAGACGACGACCGAGGAGCGCCTCCTTGCTAGTGGGCTCGATGGGAGTCTGCATCGCGGAAGGAGGTCGGTTCTCGTCGTTGACCACCTCATGGGGCCTGTCCTGGTGAATTTTCGGACCCTCGTGCTCGGAGGGTACACGGCGGAAGAGACGCATAGTCGAGCCCGAGTTGCCGAATGACATATCCGTCTGAAGGGGCCTCTTTGCTGCTGCGACAGGCGGCCGTGGTGAGCCAGTCGAGGTGGAAAGTCGTCGTTGCTGGTGAGCGGCCGCGGCCGTTGGCTGTCGCCGTACTGTCGCTTTCCTCACCGTCTGAGGGGTAGAGGGCTGAAGGGGACCATCTCTGACATCAACTCTTCGCATACCATCTTCGCTCTCTCGGACTCTTGATGGATCTCTGGACTTTGTAGGAGTAGTGTCGATGTTCATAGGATTCTTGGGCAGCGCAACCGACTTGATGGTCTCGAAAACCCACTCGTCGTCGTCGTCCTTGGGGCTCATGGTGTGGAGGGTTTCTTGGTAAAAGACGGGAAGCTTGACGCGGTCTTGCTTGGCGTCCCACATCTGCTTGCGCTCGATCAGTTCCTGCAAAGCTTCAACCCTTCCGGCTGTGCGAATGAATCGGTGCCTGAGCAGGTCTCTAGCCGTCGGACGCTGCGCAGGGTCTTTGATCAAACAATGGGCAACGAAGTCCTTAGCCTCTCTGCTGAACTTGCCCTCCAGTCGTGGTGGTTGGTTCTTGGGGATCTGAAAGAGGACCTTCATCGGGTGGATGTTCGCATATGGGGGCTCGCCAACAGCCAGCTCGATGGCAGTGATACCGAGGGACCAGATGTCAGCCTTGAAGTCGTAGCCGGCCTGTTGAATGACCTCCGGGGCCATCCAGAACGGGGTACCGACAAAGGTATTGCGTTGAGACTTCATATGTGTCAACTGCGCTGCAACGCCGAAATCAGCGAGCTTGACCTTTCCGGCTTCCGACAGCAGGACATTGGCGGCTTTGATGTCGCGATGGATCTTTCCTTCGGAGTGTAGGTAATCGAGGCCGAGGAGGAGTTCGCGGCAGACGATGGCAATGTGCACTTCGCTAAAGTTTCCTGGTTTGAGCTGGCGCACAGAGTCTTGTTAGTAAGCTTGATATAGGTGGGATGCGACAAGCGACAGCGACAGCGACGGGACCAGAACTTACGAGGTCCAAACAGGAACCTCCCCCGAGATATTCCATCACAATCCATAGCTTGTGGCCGCGCAAGAAGCTCGCCTTGTACTGAGTGACGTAAGAGCTGGCGCATGTGCTGAGCACCGAGATTTCTTGTTGGATTTCCTGGATATCATCTTCGCTGGATTCGAGGTCAATCTGTAGAGGCGCGAAAAGTCAGTTTGCTGTCGAGGATGTGATTTTTTTTTCTTTGTTTATGCTTGTCATGGAATGCGATGCGAGGCGATGCAGCCCAATGCGACAAGACGAACGTACATGTTTGATGGCCACTGTTTCGCCCGTTGTCCTGTCAATTCCCTTGTAAACGACACCAAAACTGCCTCCTGTGTCGGTTAAAGCACCAAAAAGTCAGCGTTTCAATTTTCCCCTCCAAAGCTCTTCCTGTGGCTGAATGTGGAAGTGGGTGGGATGGGACTTACGGCCAAGTTCTTCCAGCACCTGGTAGTGGTTGGCGACTCCTTCGTCGGCCATCTTTTGGTTACAGAAGGGTGATTGTCGCGAGTCGCGATGGAGGACAGGTCAAGTGCGCGCGACTACGCACCGCTCACTGGCGACCACTGGTGGTGGAGTAGTTGTGTTCCTTTGGTGGTGTCCCAGTCCGTGTGTGTCCAGCGAGGTGCCCAGGGCGAGGCGTTGGTGGAGTACTTTTTCGCTTTGGATCTGCCGCTGACCGCAAATCGACTGCAAATTAATGGCTGGTGGGGTGGACTGAAAAGGGGGGCAACCTGGTCGGTCGGCTGGGGTCCGTCAAAATAAATGAAGGGAAAAAAAGAAGGGAAGCAAAAGACGGTGTCTGACTACTAGTACTAGAACACAACCGAGCGGAAGAGGCGCATCGGTTCGAGGTTTGAGGTTGAGTCCAGGTGAGGGAGGACGAATATAATATGGAAGTAAGGTTCTACTAGTTGTTTGAGGAGCTGCAAGTCAACATCCAACTTTGTGTGCGCGCTGCTGCAGGCGGGCTCAGCACAGGACCTTGAACTGGGCTGAATGGCCGGCGGAAGCGGGCGCTCAATGTTTAATCTAATCCTTGGTTTTTGGCTAACCAGGACCGGGACTGGGTTTCCTGTTGTCACTGTACTTTCTTTACACTGGGCGGCTGTCGAATGGGAGGGCACTACAACTCCAAAGGGGGGGACTATCCGTAGCTAGCAGGTCACCGCAGGGCTGAAGTAACCTGGCACTTGTCAGATCTCGGAGATTGCTTCTGGCGATAGTCGCTGATGGACAATGACCCGTTTGTTTCTCGTGTTGCGGCTATCGCAATAAAGGGCATCTGGCGGTGGAAGAGTATCTTGATGATTATTCTGCCTCGTCTTCTGCCGTCTGCGTGCGCCTTTTTGGTTCGACAATGGGCAATTGCGCAAAGCGGCTGAGCGAGGGATTTGAGGTTTGAGCAAAGGCTATGAAGATGCCCTGCATTGCGTGTGTCTCTGGATCATTGGGTGTACCTGGTAGCGCGATGGGGAAGCTGGATGGAGAGGGAATGTTCGCATGCCTGTCGAGTCGGTCTTTTAGTCGAAAAAGGGCTTGTCGAGGGACGCTGCCGCGCCGGGGCAGTCGCGAAGCAGCCAATCGAAGTACACGGTTGCGGGGACCCATGCGTAATTTCTCCTTGAACCCAGATGGAGACTCCTAGTCGCCCTAGCAAAATGCAGTGCCGATGCGACAAACGTCACCAACTTTGTATTGTGTCCAAGTAGCCCTCGCAGCCCGTCTTCGGTTTGCAACCAACTTGGACAAGACTTCTCGATTGGGTAGGTGGGGCTTCTTTGAGAAAAGAGAGCTGAGTGAGCGACACACTCTCACTGGCACTCTGACACACACACACAGAACCGAACACTGGCCTCACTGCCCGCCCGCCCGCACGCACACGCCTGTAACGTCGAGAATGCTGCTTGATGAGACGAATGCTGGCCGGGCCGGGGGTGTCTTTCCCGTGGTTTCCCATGGCAACACTCTCAAACACAAAAGGTCCCGCGCTTACAGCCAGTCAGCATCGCCCTTGGGCCTGCTGAAGCGCGTCTCGATCGTCCCAAGCAACGGCGCGCACTGCAGCAGATGAGGTGAGACGAGACCACACTAGCGACGGGACTTGGCGACTGCATCAAGCCCCGACAGGCATCTGCTGAGGGCATCGCATGCATCGAACATGGACGCCCCGAGCAGGCGGCTCTGTTTGTTGTGCATTGTGTGATGTGCAGCGGCAAGGGAACAAGGGCATGGGCATGGGCATGGGCAATGATGAGTGGGCGGGCGGTTTGCAGTTTGCAGTTGGACTTTTTTTTCTTTCTGCAAGTTACGAGTCTTTGCCTCCAACCCGCTCCGCATCTGCGACTCTGCGCCGTCTGCTGCGCAAGTGCGCCGTTGAGGACCTTTTTTTTTCTGCTGCATATTCGAAGCACGCATAGCTCGGACGGGACCGGGCCTGAGCTCCAATTCGCAATTCGACACACAAGCTGCAACCCAATCGGTTCCTACGTACAGCACGGTATGTACGCATTGCAGTGCAGTGCAGTGCAGTGCAGTGTGCCTTTCTGCGGAGCCTGTCTCCAGCCTCTGTGCCTAGTCCCGTCCGTCTCCCTTGATGCAGAATGTTGGGAAGCTAGGTTCATCCGGTGTTTGGGTGTTTTTGCATTGAACAATGGACAGCCTACGGGTAGAAGCTTGAAACGGGTAGAAGAAGAACAAATGGAAGGCTAGAGACTTTTCTACTCTATACCATCCCGTCATACTCTCGAGTTTCGACTCTATGGAGAGGTATTCCCTGTTTGGCGGGATGGCTGGACGGCTGTATGTTACGTATGTTACATGTACCTACTGACAATGAGGTACACTCACAGAAAAACTCATGACCACGGCGGGCGATTACTTGCAGTGACCTGACTGTACCTGACCCGGCTTTTAAGGAAGCATCAAAGTACGGAGTCGGCCGAACAAATGTCAATCATCTCGGAGCATTGGTGGAGAGAGCAAATCAGGAACAGGCACGGGAGGGATTTCTTCTCGTTTTTTTCTATTTTCAAACTTGTTGTTGCGGTGATCGACCTCCACACGGAACCCACACGTTCGCTGACCTGCTTGACAAAGAGTCGAAGAGTCTCCGAGTCAACAGTTCAACAATCACCCAGTCATTCTCCCTAGAAAGTCAATCCTTGCTTGGCACTTGACCCTGGCTGTGTTAGTGGCTGTGGTGACAGTGGACAGTGATGCCTAACAGGATCTCCAACTTCTCCAACCAAACAAGGGCAACCTACTGACAGTCGGGTACCACTAGCCTCTTTTTCTGTTCCATTCGACATTAGCCGTTGCGTCAATCGTTTTGTTCCAAGAAATCCATTGATTGCACCTTGCACTTTCCGATGCCATGGTTTCCATGCTTTCAAGTGCTGCGCATTGTTCCTTGATTGACATTGAATGACCGGAAGTTTAACGGAAGTATACCTACCTACCCTTCCCCTCCATAGAAGTATACTTTTGCGGGGAATATCAAAAAAGACTCCTGTCCAATCCCTTCAACCCTCTTGGCCGATTCTTGCTGCTTTGTTTGGAATTGGGTGGTTGGGGAGATCCCGCCCGCGTCCCGCGTCTCACAGACAACAAGGGCTCTCTCTTCGCCATTTCGACAACCGAAGACGGGAGCTGACTGAACGAAAGGGAGCCACCGAACGAGCCACGCACAAGGGAGCTCTGAACACTGCAACCTCAAACACACACAAGCCTCCCTGAGTCGACTTTTAACAACCAAATCGCGCCGAACCGAACCTACCACAACCCTTGAACAGGAAGACGGCAACAACCTAAGGGTCAGACAGGCACAGTCGACAGTAAAGGGCTGCCTAGGCAAGGAGTTACCTAAAGGTGTAAATCGAATAGCGAGATACCCAGGTAGTCGTTGTCATCGTCATTGTCGCCGTCGGTCTCTCTCTGCCCGACCCGATACCTACCTCACACAGTACTCCAGCTCCTCTGCAGCTCCCGTCTCCCTCTGCACCCGAAAGCGGATTCCCTTCAGGTTCCCCATTTTTCGCAGCTCCACCCCGGATGCCTCATACAGGCTTATAGCTCCAATTCGGTCTGGTCTGGATCCATCCCATCTTCAGCTGCGCCAGGTCTGTCCGTCCAAAGGTTTGCTTGGGTCCTGGTCGTTTCTTTGGGCTGTAAGCTTTTTGCTTTGCTGCTTGGTGCTTTGCTGTTTCCGTCCCGCTTGTTCGTCCGAAACGCCTTGCTCCCAGGTTGCTTTTCGCAAGTGGTGTGTGTTGTTGGCCGACCGACTTTGTCTTGTTGACATAGCAACCAACCCCGACCTGCACGGCAACTCCCACAAGCCCAGCCCCAGCCTGCGTGTGTACGTGCGGGTTCGAGTGCAGACGAGACTTGGACTCCCACTCCGTCCAGTCCCACCGCCCCTGACCTGCAACCCGACTGACAGCGCGACTCGACAAAGATATGGTTCCCGCACCACCACCAGTCCCGACGCGGTTCCCTTGTTGGGTTCGGGCTGTCTACTCGTGGGGAGGAGAGGTGCGTGACTAGACAAGATACTACTGCTGCAATTACCTTTTCTGCGGTCCGTCCTGCCCAGCAATCGCGAGTGCCAATGCTGCTTCCTTCCACTTCCCATCCGACTCCAACCTCAACACAACCCAAGCTACCTATGGCCCGACGACAGTCTGACTGACCGATCCTCGTATCCTTACAGAGCAAACGCGACCTCGGTTTCATTGAAGGCGACCTAATAGAATGTCTTAACGCTGGCGACGGCTCATGGTGGACGGGGAGGCTATGGCGCGACAGGAGGGCAATTGGCGTCTTCCCCTCCAACTTCGTCGAGCTGATGCCCGAAAACTTCAGGCCGACCAGCAGATCCACGAGCCCAATGCCTATCAGCAACTCTCCCAGTCCCAGCGGCTCCCCGCAAAAGTCCATGACCTTTCGAAAACCCTTCGAGGCCTACGCAAAGGCCCCCCATTATACCACCGCAAAGGTTCCTGAGACCTACAAGGACGGCTCCGTAAACCGACCCCCGCGCGCCGGCTCGATTCGACCACGATCACGAGGGCCCATAGGGCACCCAGGAGGAAGAGAGGGCGGGCGTGATTACCGATATTCTCACGGCGGACCTAGCCATGGAGGGCGCGCACCGTCACCGGCACCCTTCAGGGCTGCGTCACCGAATCCCTACCGAGCACCCTCTCCCGTTCCGTATCCGGTACCGATACCGCCGCCTCTAGCCGGCTCACCAGCACCGACAGGGCCCTTTCGGGCAGCATCACCTAATCCTTACCGGGAAGCATCGCCAGCACCATACCGCCCCCGAGCTGCGTCACCGGCCCCATACGTACCCTCGCCCGCGCCATACCACTCCCATTCGCACTCACCGTCACCAGCACCGCTCCGAAACACATCGCCATCCAGGTCACGGTCTCCTTACAAGCATCAGTTGGACTACAGGGGGACACCGCCAATAA